CTTCTGGTAACACATCAACAGGACCAGACAAACTGCATTATTCCTTCTTTCGCCATATTTCAGATCACTCCAAGCACTGAATTCTACAAACATTCAACGATCTCTTCAGCGGACATCTTTTTCCTGAAGATTGGAAAGAAAGCATAGTAGTAGCATTATTGAAACCTGGTAAAGCCCGATACGACCCGAAAAGTTATCGACCTATCGCAATGTCAAGTTGTTTAGGAAAACCACTGGCGGTCGCAGCCGCTCGCAAAAGGGGGGGCCAAAGTCACACTCGCAGGACATAACATTTATCAGTCACCGGGGGGGGGGGGGTGATCGGCTATTTTTTTACGTCCACGAGGCGCCGCGCAGTTGTCATTACTTATGCTTCATCCACCTCATTCTTGCGTGAAATCTTTAAGCTCAATTTAAGGCAAAAGCACCAGTTCCATTTCCCGTCCCACGGTGTTTCCACCGGTCGGGCCACTGCACCATGGCGACGGATCGGTGTAGCATATACTGGAAGGTCGGGCACGCGGATTCATGACCTTACCACAATAAAACAATTCGGAAAAGTACGGATACCTCTTGCTTTGAACAAGCATGTGAAACCCAGAGATCATTTTCAGACTATGAAATTTACCCATATAGTTGTTTGGCGGCGGGAGAGAATAAGTACACCGACCTCTGGAGACCCCCAGCCGCACAGGTTCCTGGTTTTCAAAATTGGCATCTGAGGGCCGCGCACGACTCGCGCGGGGCCTCGCAACGGCTCTATTGGGGCTCACTCAACCTGCCTCATAGTCCTACTGCTAAAAAGACTGGCCCTGAGCCCTAAGGACTTCATCAGTCTCTGCCAGCCCCAGGACCCACACCGGCTCATGGGGACCCGACGTCGAAATATGAGGGAATCTGCGCGGGACCATCAAGACGTAAAGTTATCTCGATCAGGACCAACGTAAGGCTGTGCCGGAGACTGCGTGAGCCCTCTGATCTTCAGAAACCCACCCATGTATGTTTTTACTTAGAGGCCAGTTTAGGGCCCTCAGAGACCAGTACAGGGCCTGCAAACTGCAAAGGCCAGTAGTTTGAGACCATCAGAGACCGAGTTGGGCTCTCGGAGGCTTATGTGGGTCCTACTCATTACAGGCCAACATGGGGCCCTCAGAGGTCAGCGTGGGGCCCTAAAAGACCGGAATGAGCCGTCGTTGGAACCCAGAGGCCAGCAGAGGGCCCTCAAAGGCCAAGATGAGCCCTCCTCAGAGGCCAATGCAGGCCCTTAGAGGCCAGCATCGGGTCTTCAGCAGCCAATGCGGGGCCCTCATTGGCACCTAAATGTTCGTCTTGGGACACCAGAGACAGCAATAAGGCCACTAGAGACCGGTGTGAGACCCTCAGACGCCGGTTGGGGCCCCTGAGGCCGGTAAGGGGTCCTCATAGGTCAGATGTGGGGCCTCAGAGGTCGATGTGGGCTCTTAGCGGTCAACTTGAGCGCTTGACCGCCACTGAAGTTCCCTCAGAGGTCAGTGTTGGACGCTCAAAGACCGGTGTGAGCGTGTTTTTTTTAGCCTCGTGACGATCGAATCAGGGCCAGGGTCCCATACACCTATGGGGGCCCATCGGTTGCTTGAGGGGGGGGGGCAAATAATATGATGGCCCCCTTTATGTGCCTTGAGAGGGCATGGCCCTGATGCCCCCCGCGACCGCCACTGTGTACACATTACATACAGGCCTCTGAAATTACATACTAGCTAATGCAAACTCTATGCAGGCCCCGGAGATCCCACGCTAATCCTTAAGAAACCAAGCCGGCATACGGCGTCACCACCGGGCTTCTGAGGTGCAAAGCACCAACCCATGAGGTCTTACTTTAGTGTCTTAGAGCCACACTCCTTTGGCAGGGCCCACCCGCCACTGCCGAAGAGGTCTCATGCCAGCCATTGCTGGGCCTACGAGAGCCTCAAGTAAACCCACGCTGATATTCCATGTAAGTTGCGGCCATACTCGTGAACCGGTGCCAGCGACGCTGACCGCCAAATTGACAGAATACGAAACTGAGCCCACTTATGAGTGAAATTTACGTCCTTTGATGGCGCAAGAAAGAAAATGAAACATACAAAAAGCTTTTCTAGGACTTTTGTTCGATCTGAAAGGTGGGGCCAAAAGATAGTATGGCCCCACCTTTCAACACCAAAGGGGGGGCCATGGCCCCCGTGGCCCCCCCCCCCCTGGGACCGCCAGTGAGGAAAACTGCTTGAAAGGATGGTTGCATCACGTCTTTCATTTATAAGTCAACAACAGGATATGCTTTCCAAGTTTCAATGTGGTTTCCGAAACAATCATTCTGCGATTGACCACATAGTTCGCCTTGAAAGTGACATAAGGAAAGGATACAAAAAGAAACATCACACTTCAGCAATTTTTTTGGACATCAAAAACGCTTTTGATATGGTCCATAAGCCTGCATTAATACACAAAATAGCACAACTTGGCATCAGAGGACATATGGCATTCTATCTCTACAACTTTCTGTCTGGAACCAGACGTTTCCGCTTGAAGATTCGCTCTATTTTTTCAAACGTTCACGAGACACAGAATGGCCTTCCTCAGGGGAGCTGCCTCTCTCCAATTCTATTCAATATTATGATTAATGATTTGTTCAGCAACATCCCAGACGGCATTTCCTTCTCTTTGTTTGCGGATGACAGCGCACTTTGGTGTACCGACTCTGATTATGATTATGGTATTCAACGCTTGCAATTCGCTCTCCATAAAGTAGAAAGGTGGTCAGAAACATACGGCTTAGAATTTTCGGCAGCGAAATCGGCACTTATGATTTTTTCCAGAAACACCAGGATTTCACCCTTGAAGCTTCCAGAATTACATGGTTCCGATATTCCACGGGTTTCAAGTTTCAAGTTTCTGGGGGTCGTTTTGGACTCCCAGTTAACAATGAATAGGCACATCAAACATGTACAAACAAAATGAAAAAGAAGACTGAACCTTTTCCGATGCCTCACAAGTACTCCAGCTGGTGCTGATCGTTCAACTTTACTCCGTTTATACCGAAGCATAGTATTACCAGTAATAGAATATGGATCAGTTATGTATTCTGGAGGAAGCCGTTGCTCCTTACAGAAGCTAGAGGTCATACAAAACAACTTTATTCGTCTAGCTTTGGGTGCCATGAGGACATCGCCAATACTGTCCCTACAGGTGGAGGCGAATATACCTCCCCTGCATATTAGACGAATAAACTTGAACTTACGATATTATACAAAAATAAAACAGTTCCCATCTCACGCAGCTTACCAAGCAATATCGATTCTTCCTCGGTTACACTTTAGCTACATTGGGAGATGTGAACGAAGAACTGGCCTCACAATCGCTTCCAGAGTTACAAAATACCAGCAAAATATAGAATATAACTTACCTGAAGTTACTCCACTACCGCCCTTGGGAGTGGCGCCATGGATGATGCAACCATTAGTTATTTCGTTTTTGATCACCGAGAAAAAGGACTCATACTCTCCGACTGAAATACAGCAAACGTTTATGAAATTCCGAGCAGCACACTCTCGCTTCCATTTTCTGTATACGGATGGATCGAAACAAAACAATAAGGTAGGCTTTGGCATTTATTCTCCAAGCCTCCCACATGCAAAGCTGAGGCTACCTGATGAGTCATCAGTATTCGCGGCGGAAATGCATGCGGTTTTGCATGCACTTAAACTCATTGAGCAAAACAGTATTCAGCATGCATGCATTTGCACCGATTCAAAATCTGTCATTCAATACTTGAAAAATCCAGAATTGACCCAGCACATCAAAATCAACATTCTAAACCTTCATGAAGCATTAAGGAAAAAAGGGGTACAACTACATTTCTTATGGGTACCAGGCCATTGTGGTATCCACGGAAATGAGGAAGCAGATAGATATGCTAGGCAATCTCTGGATCTCCCTATCGTAACTGAAACTTCCATTGATATTAGTAGTATTCAGTCTTCAATAAAACGTCATTGTCATCAACTTTGGCAGCGCATCTGGGACACGGATGGTCCAGGTACCTACACACCTTCATCGCATTAAACCACTTATAGCTCACTGGGAATCATCAACTCGTCCGTCCCGAAGAGAAGAAAAGGTCTTGACAAGGTTGCGCATAGGTCATACATATCTCACTCATGCATTCATTTTTTCTCGACAACCAAGACCTGTATGTTTACGATGCAGGACAACACTCACCATCGAACACATTGTCTTACACTGTTTAAATCACGCTAGAAAAAGGAAACCAATGGAAGACTACTGTCGGGCACAAGGCGTGCCAATGACAATGTCTGTTATTTTAGGAGACGAACATTCCGCTTTGCTCAAGCTTCTTTTCTCTTTTCTCTCCACAATAGACCTCCTCGACAGACTCTAGAAATAACTATCTTCACGTTCCCATCTTAAATAGGTAACTTATTATGGTGCGAAATGGTCCACGCGGACCGAAGCACCTACTCAACAATCAATCAATCTATTAAAAACCGTTTGAAATTTATGCTTAATTTTTGCTCAGGCGATTTACTGCTCGGTTCCACACCTTCCTGAGCAAAAAGATCTCATAAAAATCAAACGCTCTTCATTTTATAGCGATTTTAAATACTGTCTCAAATAGCCCCACTGTCTCAAATAGCCCCACTTTACGGTACACTGATGCATTACATTCGTCCAGCGTGCTTGGCACGATAAAATTGTGTCATTATTCTGTTTTATGTGTTATCAAACGTGTCGAAGGTCCCGCCAAGCGTGAAAATACACAGCCTTATTGTGTTTTGGGTGCGATTAACACATGACTGATGTGTTACCAGTACAGAACATGCCCTCACTGTGTCGATTTGTTTTCAGTGTATACCGACTCGCTCCGTCGCGCGCCGACGTCGTCGCCTGCGTCGGTGACGACGCAGGCCATAGTCGGCGACGACGATCGCCGACGGTCAGTGGGACTGTGCGGGGCCGCGGCGACGGACGCGTTTGATTCCTGCTCCGTCCAACTGGACTCGGCTCGGGCGGGTCCCACACTGAGAGAGTTGTCGGAAGAACAGAGAATACTACTGGGACGAGGGTCTGGAACAGGATCAAGGGAACGAAACACGGCGCTCGTGACTTTCACCCGGTGATTTGGCCCGCTCAACGGTCTTGTGCAGGTGAGCTCTTTTCTAGATAACACGCGAGTGATGTTTGGAGATATGTTTAGTAAATATGCACTCATGAGCGTGCCCTGTTCTTTTTGAGAAAAAGCTTGCAGAAAACTACTATTGCTAACAGCTGTTGCTGATGAAAGCTGCATAAGTCAGCGATGTAGGTTGGAAGGACATATTCGACGTCTTTTAGCTCATTGTCTGGTATATAAAATATAGTGATTCGGGAATCCTTTATTTCTTCCCATAGGGTAACTTGTTGTTAAATTTACTGATAGGATGTGATTTTTCTCATTAATCGTTTGATATTAATGTTTTATGAAGAAGCATGATATGAGCGAATCTGATCGATGAATTACGGCACACTCAGCGGTTTGGAAATAACTCATTGCCTTTTTATACTGTTGGATGGTTACAAGGGCCCTGAAGTCCCCTACACAGAGTAACCGAAGGTAATCGAATTTTCAATTGATAAAAACACTATTCACTAGAACGGTGCTTTTCTGTTGAAAACTAAGCATGAGTTGTCTGAATAATGCTGCCAAAGCTGGCTGGGGTAACCACACCTCCAGTTTGCTTTCCAAACTCACAATAAGGTTTGATATACAGCACCACGAACCGACGAATGAACACATCGCTCACGCCGACTCTGCCCTTCGACAAAAATTCAGATAGAATATTGCGGGAAAAATCAGGCAGATTTATCGTACAGCAGGTAATTGATCAAGAGAACAAAAGATAAAGCGGCGATATCTAAAACGAGCGACTTCGAATGCAAGTGTTCATGATTCATCATCAAACACAGCGCTTTATTCAAGTAGCTTTAGGAGTTAGGACCCGGTGCCATCTTTTGAACCTTCAGTGTGTAGATGTCCGCAGCACAATCGAGGCAGCAGCAGCAGCAGCGCTCACAGAACTGGGCCCACCTCCTTCAATCATCCCCGTTTCTATTCTCCTCTTTGCCTTAGTGCTCATTCATTCATCTCGTATTCACTTCGGCTGAAATACCACCAATTATGTGGATGCCGTTGTATCTGTATGTATTCATCAATTAATTGAAGCCAAACGGCGAGTTTGTTTATTTAATGTGAATGATAACGCATTTTACCGTATGAGGCTCAAGGAAATAAACACAACATTATTTACGCCTTGCTTTGGGAATTGAAGAATGAAGTTGACTTCGATGACAAAAGGACGTAGAAATGAGCCGTTTTATTTAACCCTCGCCCATGTAGGGGGGGGGGTTGATGCAACCCCCCCCCTGAGGTTTTTCGGAAATAGTGCAAAAACGGCGGCGCGCAGCGCCGCCAAATTTTGGGTCCCTTATGGGGCAAACCTTGCGCATCTTTTGATAAAAAAAAATTGACCGGGTCATATCAGGTCACGGAGTTATGACGTCACAAAGGGAACAGCCTCCGGCCGGATTTTCACAAACTGAGTGCCAACGCCCGAGGTTTCCTGCCGGTGGTACGGACATCGGTTGATGGATCGTGATGAAACTTCCCATGCATGTTGGGGCAAGTATTGGCTATCATATGGTATAAGAAATTTGACCGAGTCAGGTCAGGTCACGGAGCTATGACGTCACAAGAGGAACAGCGTCCGGTACTATTTTTGAAAAGCGCCCGAACCACTATTTTGCTAATTATTGTCACCTCAATGGGAATATGCAGCAATATTAGCTTCTATAGGGAGCAAATGGACCTTCCAAATCCAAAAATACAATCAGATTTCAAAAATTTAAATTTTGATTTTTCGAATTTCTGCCGCCGACTGTGACCTTGCCAACTTCCGGCGCTCCCAACGCGCCATTTTTAGAGCTAGGGAAACGAAATACATACCAAACGATAGAGAATTGATTAAGGAACACGATAGTGAAGGTTTCAAGTCGATATCTCCCACCGTTTTGCCGCAATCGCCGCGGAAAGTTGAAAAAAGTCTATTTTTCCGAAAATTTGACCTTTGACCGGTCAAAAGTAGGTCAAATGTTGACCTAGGACCAAAAAATATGCCACCAATCGCGAGATCTCGTTGAGAGCAATCCGTTGGTTTTTTCCGCTAAGCTCTACGACGCTCCGTTTTCAAACGCCAAGGGGGGGGTCGCACCAACCCCCCCTGCATGGGCGAAGGTGGCAGATCGCCGTTTACGGGCGAGGGTTAATTTAGCCGCAGCAAGGCACCTTTCGGGAAGACTGAATTTAGGTATGCTTCGTACATCTCGAAAGGCGTGGCAAAACGAATGGTATATGCACTATGCATCCCGATGCAGGACTGGCACGCCTCGGAAAAAATACGTGGAGTTTGTCATTCTATTCTTTCCTAAGCGATTGATGCTACGAAAAACCGGGCAAAATACCAAGCTGTCATACTACAATAATTGTTCTCATTGGTTGGACGATACATAAACCTTCGCCCCAGTGGGGGGGGGGGCTATATGTTACCACCCTGTCGCGTTTTTTGCGTGTGACTAAAAAACCGCGGCGTGTAGCGCCGCGCCGCTTTGGGTAGCTTTTGGTACATCAATTTCGGACAATGTGTGAAATTTTTGACCCCAGGTCATGTCAGGTCAGGTCACCAGGTCAAGTTAACTGACCAAGCCTAAAAAAAAGTTTGCAATCATGTCCACACTGTAAACCAAATCTACAAGTTGGCTCCTTGTTACAAGTTTGGTTCCAATTCGCATAGGCGTCACCTTGTCGATTCACCAGCCCCAGGCTTGTTGGCTAACAAACTAACAGTTTGTCTACAAGTTTGGTTCCAATTCGCATAGGCGTCACCTTGTCGATTCACCAGCCCCAGGCTTGTTGGCCAACAAACTAACAGTTTGTCTACAAGTTTGGTTCCAATTCGCATAGGCGTCACCTTGTCGATTCACCAACCCCAGGCGTGTTGGCCAACAAACTAACAGTTTGTCTACAAGTTTGGTTCCAATTCGCATAGGCGTCACCTTGTTGAGTACTAGTCTGGGCCTTGTGAACCTACCAACTTCTGGATAGGCATAGCCGTTTCCTTGTCGGTTCAACAACCCCTGGTTTGTTGATGAACTAGCCTTTGACTGGGCATTGCTAGTTTACAAATTGTCAACAAGTAAGTGTACTAACGCTCAGTTCGAACTTGTTCTTCCTTACAATCGCTTTGTTTGCGTTGATAACCTTAAGAACTTACGATTCGCGTTCGTTTTCAATTGCCACGATACTGATTCAGGAAATATTTTCTATACGGACAGGTCATTTTTTGGCTGGAAGTGGTGCACAAAATCATGACTGGCATCAGTTATTGCTCAAAGGCTTGCGCTGACAAGAAACGAAATACTGATGGGTTATATAATCGATGAATGCATACACCACAACCATTCGGAAGTTTCTGGAATCATTAGTATTTATTACGGTCACGTACCTACATCACGTAGTATGTAATTAATACTATTGACTGGAGACAATTTCAAGTGCATATTTTCGAATGGATGTGGTAAATGCATGAGGTATAAGGTATACCTATCGTGCACCGTCAGCATATAAGTCTTTGAAGCAAGAACTGCTGCGTATGTGGAAGGACATGGTTTTGTGCATCGCATCAAGCCAGAAGTATAACACATGCCCGTATGACAAATATTTCCACATTGACCATAACAATCATGGCAGTTGCACGATCACGCAGATAATTCGAATAAAGCATGATCGCCAACCAGATTAGCTTTTACAGCCCATATATGTCCATCAGTTAAGTTGAAAATACAAAGAGTTGAATTAAAGGCAAATAAATGTATTTATATATAAAAAACACCGACCGCAAAACATCTGCTCATATGTGCATGCAAAGGTCTGGCCCACTTACATTGCGCGCGCAGGGGAAGGGAGGCGTCTCGACCGCGGGTATAGGCACGATTAGTGCGTCCCGCAGGCCAGAGCGGGCCTCACTCACAGCACGAACACCACAGTTCACAGATTTCACTTTTTACTGCACAAATGCTGGAACAGCCCTCGTCGCTGATCCATGCTGCACGGCGGCCGCGCGACAACTGCTGGTTTGAACGGTTTGAAACCGCCGCGCAGGGGCCGGACGGCGACCGCTGATTGGTCCGCCAAGTCTGACGTCACGGGCGCAGCTGACCATGTGTATGCTGACTAGCTGACCAGTACAAGTTTGGCGCCGGTTAAATAACCATGCGGCAACAAGTTTCCAAAACTGGTTAAGAAACAAACGTTGAAACAAATGTAGAGTTGGTCTGGATACTGAGAAGTTGGTGTGCATAGTAACTATTGACTCGTAGTTGTCATCTGACAAGCAATGCACCAGACAGCGGCTTGTTTGAAAAGTATCAGTTGGTAAACATACCAAGAGATGATTGGTTATATTACACAAGACTTGTCAATTTGGTTTACAGTGCAGCCTACAGTGTTTGTCAGAAAGATTTGAAACTTGGTGGATTGCATGCTGTTATGGGCGCCTACAATTTGTATATCTCGGATTTTTTATATCTGTGACCTAAGGTCAGGTCAGTGGCGTGACCTTTCCATTACAAGTCAATGGAGAAAAATGAAAATGCCTCTAGATCCGTGTGTACGCATCGGAACAGTCCAAATATTTCAGAATCACAATGATTTAGTCCACTCGTGATGACCAAGGTGTCATTTTTGCTGATAGCCTCTAGACAGGTCATCCGAGGTCACTTGAGGCTACAAACAGTTTTTTGCCAATAACTCGCGATTGGAAAGAGATAGAACGCTGGGGATGGTCTCATTGTGTTTGTCTTGTTGAGACGCATCGATTGATATGCAACATGACCGTTTCCGGTCAGGTCATGACCTTGACCTGAGGTCAAATTTTCAAGTTGACCTTTCAAGGTCAAATTATAGTTCATTCGACGCGTCTCGGCGAGGGGAACACGATTCTGGCCATAGAAATGTCGTGGCTTTTTGGAGTCGAAAGTAATTGTCGAAAACCACTTTCCGTAAAAACAGCTATTTTTGGAGTTTTTGCCCTCTGGAGGCTACACCGTTGACCTG